CGGTTTTTGCCTACCACTCCAACTGCACCACCAAATCTGTCACCAGTAGATTGGCTTCCAACAATCTTTTCATTTTGGTATCTTATACAAGGATCATCCGTATTCCAAACAGAATTTATCGATCTAATGGCTCGTGTTGCAGAAGATAATGTTGTGGTCGAAAATACCGATCCAAAAAATATTGGGATTTTTACTCAAGTGCAGGCCAAAACAATATTTGGTTCAGGTCAAAAAATGATGGATTTGCCTGTGGGTAGCACTAGTACTGGTAATAATAGTTTAGGAAGAAGCACATCTTCAAGGATCGACTCTAGAGCTGGTAGTGCTATGTTATTAAGGAAAAGAGGGGTAATCTTCATTTTCTTATTTAATAGTTTTTATTAGAGATTAATGATTAAATTAATTTTAACTTTAATAGGATAAATTTAAAATGTTGGCAAGATTCATTGTTTACACAATGTTTACAACATCCGAAAATGAGGAATCAACTTTAACACATTTGGCTAACATGATTCAAGCTATTGAATCATTCTATCATCCAAGTAATTTTGGAAGATGGACTTATTCAATTGTAAAATTTCTACAATATCTTGGTTGGGAATTCTTAAAAAGATGGACTGACGGTAACAATATTTACCACTGTTGTTGTCGTCGTTATAATAGTAGTATAAACAACTTGACCAATTCAAAATTTTTTTATTTAGAACAAAAGTCAGATTGCAAAACACCAGTATCACGGCGATTAACTCCAGAAATTAGACGTCAATTTGTTCTAACGTTAAGAGGCGTTACCTTTTTATCTATGTTTGGAAAAGATGCTATGTCTGTTGGATCAAGTCAAGCGTCACTCAAATATTTAGCTTGTATCTTTATCAAATTAAAAAACAATTAGATTGATTAATTGATTTAATTGATAATATCAAGTACATGCATAATTATTATATTTCCATAACCTATTTACAATTATGATTTTTTGATGATATAGGGTTGGAACCTTCGTTGATCTTTCCTGGATTGTTGGAACGCGTATATCCATCATTAGAAACCTTGACCGAGGTATATACATTTATAATTTATACAATAATAAATTCTTTTAATGTTTTTTATATTAATTATTTAAAAGATCTACGATGAGGTTTTTCACGATATAACGCAGCACTATAAATTTATACAATAATATAACTTTAAAGAAAAAAGGCATAATACATTAATAATCATAATATTCTTATTATTAAAATTAATTTTATCTGACTCGCAAGTAATAAAGCTAATCAAATTATCGACGCAATTCAGCAAGCATTTGTTGTTTTACAACAACAACAAAGTATCAATCATCATCATCACTTCCGTCAAAATAGTAGTTGTCACATATTAATTTAACATTAACCTGAATAAACAAGGTAGAAATCTAAAAATAATACAAAATTCAAAATTAGAATTCTTTTTAGCCCCCAAACAACGAAATCAAATGTTTATCTTCGCCTCTTATGCGGGACATTGTGTTATGGCTTGCCAACAGCGCTTAACGGTCATAATTAGTTAATTAAAAAAAATTTTTTTTTAATCAAAAAAATAAAATTTTTATGCCTAATGCTTATCTGGTCCAAGACAATTAATTTCATTCAAAGGTATTATTAAATTCTTGCTCTAAAAAAAGCAGTCCAATGAAGCTTAAACAACTATCCTCAATGCCAATTAATTGTTTTCTCTGCAAAAGTGGATTCAATAACACTTGGCTACTACATACAGTCAGTCAACTCTTGTTTTAACGAATTTTGGTCTTGTGACAATGATCGACAAGTCTATTTAAATTTTTTAAATTTTTTAAATTATTAAACATGTGATTAACATACGATAAATCACGTAATTATGATTTTAACCTAAAACGTATGTTAATATATAACTTGTGATTTTTAATGATGATGTAATTAAACTCTTGTCATTTAAATGGCTTTGATTTGATCATTTTAAAAAGGTACTAAAATATTAAAAAATATTTTACAAATCTTATTACAAACATGTCACCCCCAAAAAAAAAACGAGCTTATATTACTGCTGACCAAAAAAGAGAAATTTGTTTATTGAAAAGAAAAATAACCCAACCAAAAAATATAGATTTAGCAAATCAATTTAATATTACCGCAGGTCAGGTTAGTGATATCTGAAAGATGATGATTAATATAATAAATAGATTTAAATTCGTTTCAAGCAAAACTGAAAATATCACATACCTTGCCATTTGTTGATATTGAAGAAGCATTGTTTCATGGATTGAAAAGACTCTTAATGTAATTTAACAATCACAGATTCTTATTATTCAAAAAAAAAAAAAAAGGCTACAAATTTTGCTGAGCTATTAGATAAAGAGTTTAAAGGATCTTCTGGTTGGTTATACACAATTTAAACAAAGAAATTCAAATTCGTGAACATCTTTAAACGTGATGAAACTCCAGAAATGAGAAACACATTGCAAAATCTTCAATTTTTAATTGCAACGAAACTGGTCTTCTCTGGAAAATGGAACCATCTCGCGGTACAAAACAAAATAAAAGATAATTATATTGTTAACATGCGACGCTACTGGAACAGATCAATTGATTCCTTTATTTATTCATAAATATTAAAACCCAAGAGCATCAAAAAAAAAAAAAATATTAACCGCAAATGTCAATCTGGAATGATTAAATAAAAAAAAAATGAAGAGAAAAATATTATTACTTGTTGACAATGCACATATACACAATTTTATAAAAATTCATCATTTACCGCTCACCATACGCCTGCAACCATGTGACGCAAGAATAATTTATAATTTCAAAGACTTAAGCCTAAAAAATATTTTATTTTATATTAATAATAAATATTTTAAAAATTATGATTCACAGCCTGTTGTCCGATAATTATTTAATAATGTAATTGAAGAATATCATCAAGAAAGAATTGTTTTTGAAAATTTAATCAATTAATTATCATTTAACTCTCCATTATAAGCAAAAGAATTGATAACGAAGAAATAAATAACGAAATAATAATTGAAGAAATTATTGTTTTTTCAAGCCAATTGGAGAGCAAATTGTCATTAAAAGTAACACGACCGCACCCAAGGTTTCAATGAAAAATTCAGTAAATGCCTTTGAGATTTTCTTCAACAATGTGATATAGAAACAAAAATTACAATATATTATATAATTTTTTTTTCTGACGATCATTGCCATTTTTGTTTCAACGATTTTTTTGTCGCAACGAATTCAACTCGTCCTATGTATTCGTTGAAACAAGGGTAGACTGTGAACAGTAATTCAAATATAACACTGTTGCTTCAAACCCTCATTTATAATATGACTATATCCAATATATTTAAAAATATTGGCTCTTGAAGCATCAATGGCAAAAGAAAGACTCACGTTGAAAATTCTATAAAAGATTATATTGGCTGTCATAATCATCTTTGGGGCCAGGATTGTTCATCTTGTCTTATAATAGCATCATGTAGTTCGAATTAAATAAGTCTAGTAATCTCAATAAACGGAATCATGCAAGTCAAAATCTCTAGCAAAATAGCCAAGAGATTTATGCGTCGGCTTGATGCATTTCTTCAGCATATAAACATACCAAAAAATAGCATACAACTAAACTAAAGATGAAAAGAGAATCGATATAAAGAAATTGGGATATCACGAGTTCCTTATTTGCCTGATAGCTATCTCTTTTAGCTCTCAATTTCTTCCAAACTAATATGTTTGTCATTGTTGTTGCGTTCTTTTTATGTGTTGAAATTTTTTAGTAAGAATCATTATTTTTTTGTAAATATTCTTTGACATTTTAAATTTTTTGTACTCTGAATAAAAAATTTGTGATCCATATTTTCTTAAATTGGATCCAAATTTTTCAATAATAAGAACACGACGTTTGTTTTAATAATGACGCATGAATTTGCCAACGTTTATCACGTGAAATAATAATATATTTATCTTATTTACTCATTATTATAGTAAATTAAATTTCGTCGCAGCAAACGCTGTCTGATTAAAATTTTGCTATATGTATCTTTCTTGTTGAATCAATTCGACCATTCTTTATCAGTCTTATCATCAATTTCGTTCGTTGCATTATTATTGTGTGGCGAAAAAAACTACAATTCACACTTGCTGTATTATAATAGTCATTTTGGAAATGATTAGATGGATTAATAGTATCAGTAATAATGACAAATAACAATGGTACCGCGTTCAATCAAACAAAATTTTATTCAACAAATAGAATTTTCAATCATCAATAAAGTTGCACGGTGCTACTATACTATTTATAACGCACATGACCAAACGAACCAAAGATTACTATTACACACCCAATTAATTATATTATTATTAAATTTCCTTCTTTTATACAACCATAATAATAATAATACTCATAATGCCAATAATAAATGGTTTGCCAGTTGAAATTTTAAATGAAATTTTTGAAATTTTTGAATGGAAAACCATAAGAACCTTTTTATATATCAACTCGACTTTTTTTAAAGTATGTGCACCATTGTTGTGGAAAAATTTAGGTGAAAATACGTGGGAGGGAATAGACGATGTGGAGAAACGATGGAGTCTCATTTCCAGAACATTGCTAGGCTATTCTTTCTCCTCCGCTGCCGCAGATAATATCACTGCCCACAATAACAACAATAACAATAACAACAACAATAAACAACTTTATATTGATTATAATTCATTTATTTATAGAATTTTTATATCATCATCCAACAACAACGAATTTAGACTACCAAAATCATTATTCTCGTATTTTCTAACCACTTGTAAAAACCTAACTGAAATAGAGTTCCAATATTATCAAGAATCAAATTTGCCAGAACCTTTCGAAGTGTTTAACGAACTAAATCCTGAAACTATTTGTTCACCATTATCTAAGATCTTAATTGATTTGACCCGTGTGCCATCAGAACCAATACTTTCATTAATAGCCGATCATATTGAAACATTGGAAGAATTAACGATAAAGATTTTATATCAGACTACACCTTTACCGGTAGAAATTTTGAGAAGATTAATAATAAACAATAAAAACTTAAGGAAGGTTACATTGTATACAATAGAAGGATGTAGAGTATTAAGTAATAAAGGTGACGGTGATGATGGTGATGATGATGATGATGATGATGATGATGACGATGATGATGATAATACATTAAAAAAGTTTGCAAATGGTGAAGATTTACCATATATTGTTACTGGATGGTGGCCTCAAGGTGAAATTTGATAATTATAATATTATTAAAAAATAATTAATTAAATAAAAAAAAATATATAAAAGGATTTTATTATCATCGCTATTACTATCATATAATCATTACTCGATTCTTTCTCCTTCTTCTTCTTCCTCCTTCTCCTCAACATATCTTGAAACATCAACATCGTGGTAATTATGATTGGCAAAATTAAACCATGGAATTGCGGCTTTATTTTCATGGAAAGGAGAAAGAGAAAGAGAGAGAGATATGAATTGATTGATCTGCCTTAAACTCCATAAATTTTATGTAATAATAAATAACTTATGTAATTTACCAAATTTTAAAGCAGCATATCTTGAATTCCATGCAGCTGCCTTTTGATTATATTGACTTAATTCAGAATTACCATACAAAGCCTTTCCTTCCCTTAATCGTTTTGTCATTTCCTGTTTATCTCTTTCAAACTCTTTTGAATTTTCTTCCCATCCCCAAAATCTAACTACAAACGATGCATAATAATTAATGAACGTTACTTCCTCCCTCTTTGAAAATAAATTATGCTATAAATACATACAACTACTTCGTTGGTAAGCTAATAAAAATCCTGCCATTGCTCCAAATCCAGCTGCATATCTAAGTCCAATGTTAAGCCCTTTCGACGGAAATTGAGGATTCGTTTTTTCTAAACTCATAAAAATTATAAGTTCTCTTGAGTTCTCTTTTAATGTTTCACTTTGGTTTATTATTTTGCATGATGAATATTATGTATGCCTACCCATCATTATCATAAATGCAGGTCCAAAAGCTGTGGCAGCTCCCCATGCAAGATAATCTGAAGGTCGAAAGTATCTTACTACACGTGTAAAATGTGGGTCAAGATCAATAACAGGATATTGTGCTCCGTTTTCATGTCTTAAAGACATTTTGTGTTGGCTGGTTTATGTTATTTTTGAAATTGAAAATATTTTAAAATAATTGTCGTACAACATATAAAAAAGCAGATCCTCATAATTTTCATTAATCAAGATTTATTATGTTCCTTTCTTTTACAAAAGTGTGACCTTTTTTCAATTCATCAATTAATTATTTATTTGATGAAATATTTGCATGTAAAGTGGTAGCAGTAATAATAATAATAATAATAATAATAATAATAGTAACAGTAGTAATAATGGCAATGCATTCAAAAACATTTACAGCAAAAGTATTTATAAACGACACGGTTTGCTCCATTAAAAATGAAGAAAAAACTGGAATTATCACAAAAACTTGGCATAATTTCGAAGA